GCTGCTACAGCTGATATATATTTGTTGTCAAAATACCTTTTAGTACATATGTTGTTAAAATAAAATGAACAGTCCGATGATCATTTTACTGATATGTATAAAGACTGCAAARGATGAAAAATCTTSAAGTCTGRATGAAAYTGGAGGTAGTTTGAGGATTAAGTTTTTATGCTTTTTAAGCTCAAAAAGGGGGGTCGTATTATACATGAGATCATATTATACATGAATAAATACGGTAATTCATCTTTTTGTTTGTTTTAGTGTGAAGTTATCAGCTGATTAATCCCACCTCWCAGTGACTTTAGCCTGTCGACTCAACAGTTTTTATTTTTCTGTCTCTACTTCTGGGAAATGAATTGTACCGAACCGGGGCTTAGGCGCACGCTGACACCCCTACTTCTTGGTTCTGAGTGTAAATAAGAGAACCTCTCAGCATGTTTGAGAAGGTTTGACTTCCTGTTGGACCTGYTGTGTTTGCAGAAACATCAGGTCCAGTTTTCTGTCAGCTGCTTGCATTTGCTGTGGATTTTTTTTTAACTAAACGTGAGATTGTGTTAGAAATCACAGCTTTTGGTTCAATGAAAGCTTAAACTTTGTGCATCTTGTTTACTTTCTGTAAATAAATGTTGGTGTTAGGTTTTTGTTTCTCAGCTTCAGCTACTAATACTGTCCTGTTTCTGCTTCTTCACTTCTAATAAACTCTGCTCACCTGAACCTGTCGCCTCTTCGTTTGTTCCTCCTCTTCCTCTGTTCCTCATCAGAACACTAACAGAACCTCAGGTTCCTCTAATAAACCTGCATGTTCTTCAGTTTTCACTCCTGAACTTTTGACCAGTAAATATATTCACAACTGAAACAAAAAGTCCACATGTCCCACCTTTAATGTTCCCGTGACATSAAGAAACTTCAGATGCAAAAAGTCAAAGAAACATTTTTAGATTAAAAAAAACGAGACATAAAACACATGATTTGACTCATTTTGTCTCATAACTGGAASGTTTTCTTTTGAACGTGGCTCAAAGTGAAACAGGAAGTGACATCAAAGGGGGATGCTTTTAAAAAAGAACTCATACTCTTTGTTTACATGCAGACGTTCTCCTGTGACATCACTTCCTGTTACTGTACATCTGACATCACTTCCTGTTACTGAACATGAGAATCTCAACAACTGTTCATCTCAAGAGTGAAATTATTTTTTAAATATGTTATAAAAACACATTCATATTTATTACAAATGTTTGTTATCACAGGCACTTTAATGTCTCTTGCTGCACCAGCTTTGGTTCTGAAGARCTTTAAAGAACCACAGGGTTCTGTACGGAACAATAACCAGAACCTAACAACACTCATGACATAAAGGAAAAACAAAAAGTCATAAAATCAATGAAAGTAAAAATGTAACACATCCTCCTGWGGTGTTGAAGACCAAAGATCAGAGGTGTTTTCAGAGAAACAWAAAAACTTCAAAAATGTAAACTTCAGTTTAGAACTCCTCAGCCCAAATGTACATTTCAGAACCTTAGTGGTCTTCTGGACTCAGTTTGAACAGTGAGGCCTCTGGTTCAGTCTGACCCAAGGACAGCAGGAGGGTTGAGGGTTGATCCCACACCTCCAACAGATGTTGGGTCGATACTTTATTACCTCGTTATATTTCAGTCCAAATAAATTAGATCCTGATTATAAATCTGGGTTTTAAAATAAAAACTAAATGTTGCAGCTCAGGTTTTATTTCCTCCTGACATAATGAAAAATCTGTCAGGATGTGATGAAGTGTATATCTGTGGTGTGTAACTGTGGTGTGTATCTGGCATGTGTGTGGTGTGTAACTGGTGACATGTAACATA